TTCCTTTTTCTTTCACAGCTCCTTGAACTCAACCTCTTTGAATTTACATGGATTTCTTTCCATTCTTCCCGAAATATTTATTATCAAGAACTTTCTTAATTATAGGGACATGTAGGGACATAGTTTTGCCTGAGGTTTTTGTTTTTGTTTTTCCTGGTTCCATGCCTTGAACTTAGTGCTTTGTGCTCATGCTTTGTTTGCCCATTGCAGAGCTCTATTTTGAGCCATTCCTCCAGCCTTCTTTTTTCCCGCCATTAATTAAAGATGGAAACTGTTAGTTTTTTCTTTGGCTGACTTTGAACCACTAGCATCAGATTTCAATCTTCTGAGTAGCTAGAATTACAAGCATGAGCTGCCACCACTGGCTGAGGGTTTGCCATCTTGAGAACTTCAATAATTCTGACTTTTCAATCTCAGATCTTTAAGTAGAAGCTTCACCATTTGATCTTACTCCCAGCCTGAGTCTCACAACTTTAGATAAAATCTATCTTTTCTTTGAATAAGTAGAACCCATCTTCCTTTTAAGTTTTCTTGAATGAAGGAGACTTGATCAGTAGTTTAGGCTGAATACATAGCCTAAATACTATTTATAAAAACAAATTCCAGGGCTGGGAAGGTGGCTCAGTGGTAGAGTGCTTGCCTTGCATGTGTGAGGCCCTGGGTTCGATTCCTCAGCACCATATAAGCAGAAAAAGCTGGAGGTGGCACGGTGGCTCAAGTGGTAGAGCGCTAGCTGAGGGACAACAGCCAGGCCCAGAGTTAAGGCCCCATGACTGACAAAAAAAAAAAAAAAAGATTCTCATGGACTTTCCTGCTTGTGCTGGCTTCAAACTTCAATCCTCAGATCTCAGCCTCCTGAATAGGTAGGATTATAGATGTGAGCTCTCAGCACCTAGTTAGAGCCTTGTTCTTAATAGGCAGGTGCTTTAACTTTTTTTTGGTGGGGGGAGAGGGCCGTCTGGTCGTGGGGCCTGAACTCTGGGCCTGGCCGCTGTCCCTCAGCTCTTCAGCTCAAGGTTAGCGCTCTACCACTTGAGCCACAGCGCCACTTCTGGCTTTTTTTCCTTTTTGCTTATGTGGTGCTGAGGAATTGAACCCAGGGCCTCATGCATGCAAAGTGCTCTACCACTGAGCCACCTTCCCAGCCCGTGGTGCTTTAACTCTTGAATTGTTTCCCAGACACCTTAGGTTTTTTGTTTTGTTTTGTTGTTTTGTTGGTCCTTGAACTCTGGGCCTGGGCACTGCCCCTGCACTCTAGTTCAAGGCGAGCACTCTACTGCTTGAGCCACAGCGCCACTTCCGGTTTTCTGGTGGTTAGTTGGAAATAAGAGTCTCAGGGATTTTCTGCCTTGGCTGGCTTTGAACCTTGATCCTCAGATCTCAGCTTCCTGAGTAGCTAGGATTACAGGCATGAGCCACTGGCGCCCGGCTCCTTTTTAGTTAGTTTTAAAATAGGATCTCATGTTTTTACCAGTCTAGACTGTTATTCTCCTATTTATGCCTCCCCTGTGGCTAGAATGATAGGTGATAACACTTAGCTCTTTGGTTGAGGCCTGATTGGCCTCAAACCATGATTCACCTGCTTTATACCTCCCCAGCAGTTGGGATTACAGGTGTGAACCCCATGCCTGGACTTTCTTTTGGCCTTGTTTTTAAAGAATTGTTTTGAAGTTCTTTTTTTTTTTTTTGGGTCGGGTTGTGGGGCCTGAGCACTGTCCCTCAGCTCTTCATCTCAAGGCTAGCGCTCTACCACTTGAGCCACAGCGCCACTTCCGGCTTTTTTCTTTTTGATTATGTGGTGCTGAGGAATCAAACCCAGGGCCTCATGCATGCAAAGCAAGCGCTCTACCACTGAGCCATCTTCCCAGCCCCAAGAATTGTTTTGAAGTTCTATCCCCCTCCATCCTCTTCTATGTTTAAAGCATTTTGGTAGTTTGGTGGGACTTAGCCCATAAGGGCTATGATATCTTCTCTCCATAGCCAAGAATTCCTAGTTATATTGAGCCAAGAACCAGGATGCCAAAATAGAGCTTTACTACTCTATTTATAGAGAATCTTTTCTGTGCTGGATCCATTTTTTTTTCTTCCCCTCTTGAAGCCCCAGCTTCCTAGTTATTCACTAACCTAGTCATTGAGCAAATTTCTGGGTCCCACTATGACTCTCTGCCAGTGTGGGGGCTTCCTGATCTCTGTCATCATTCCTGGCTCCATGAAGCTGACATTCTGTTTGAGAAGCAGATGGAAGTGGTAGATAGATGTGAGACCTCTTGTCTTTTGTTTATCTAGATTTCATAGTCCCCAGGGAGGGTTTCTGGTGAGTCCTAGGCATCAGCACTGGAGGACCAAGATGGCAGCTGGCATGTTGGAGTGGTCTTCAAGTTCTATGCTTTCTTTGTGGAGGAGCCAGTAGATGCCATCCCCTGCTATGGGGGAGGGGTGGTGGTATGGTCACAGTTACTGCCACTAATGCCATTCCTTCTTTTGAATGGATTTGTTGAGTGCTAGGTATAGTGGTTCATATCTGTTGTTTCAACTGTTTAGGAGGCAAAAATTAGGAGAATTGTGGTTTGAGGGAGGCAAAAATTAGGAGAATTGTGGTTTGAGGCCAGTCTGGGTAATATGTTAATAAATCAGCCGACTGGTGGCTCGCGCTTATAATCCCAGCTACTCAGGAGAGTGAGATCAAAACCAGCCCAGGCAGAAATTTCCATGAGACTCTTATCTCTAATTAACCACTAAAAAACTAGAAGTGGTAGAGCACTAGACTTGAGCAAAAAGAGCACAGGAGCAGCACCCAGGTCCTAAGTTCAAGCCCCATGACCACCCCCCCCCCAAAAAAAAAGGTTAAGTCTTCATCATGATGTGGTATACCTGTAATCTAGCTACTGGTTTAGGTAGGAGGGTCATGGTCCAAGGCTGCCCTTAACAAAAACCATGAGACTCCATCTGAGAAATAATTAAATCAACTAAAGGGCTTGGGACATGGTTCAAGCCTAATGCCCCAAAAAAGGACTCATTGCTTAGTGTCATAATTCCCTTTCCTCCTTGTGCCACTTGTTAAGAATTTCAGTCTCCACCCACACTTGATAGGCTAGAATTTCTGGGACTGAATCTGAGTCCAGGTGATTGTGGGTTGACAAGTAGTGAGCATTCTGTGGGAAAACACTTGGGCCTTCCACTTGCCATGAAACTCTTTTCTTTAATGTGGACCAACCTCCACTCTCAACTCAGTACTGTAACACTGACTTCATCTGTTTCCCCTACCTTGGAGGTATTTTTTTTCCATGTAGCCATGTCTATGTAGCTTCGATGTGCTTTACAAACTGCTGCTCTGTGATTGGAGTGTGGGGTGTGAAGGATCCTTTGGACCTGTTGACTAGGGGCTCTAACAAATTGTCTCCATACCATTTTGAGCCATGGCTCTGCTCAAGGAGATACTTTTTCCTACTAGAAAAGGTAAGGGTTGGCCCAGGCAGGGCCCCACCCCCACCGGGTGGTGGTAGGTTGTAGAAGAGACAGCATCTGAGAAATTGGGAAAATCTGTTATGCTATTGGATGGAAGCCCTGGTTGAGGCAGTGGTAGAAATGGCACTCTACATTCATGAATTTAAATTTGGAGGAATGTTTGATCATGTAATGTAGGTGAGAGGGTATATGCTGACTGGCTTGTGTCATGACAACTGCTTGTGTGAGGCAATGACTAAAGTCAGACTGGTGAAAAAGCAAGTGACAGTTGTAAAGACATCTTGGATCAGGTTTTAAAGTAATGTCATGAGAGTTACACTTTCTGGGAGAAATGAAATTGCATTTGCCCCCATTGACTTCACACCCACACCCACACAACTTCTCATATTTGTAGGGAGACTTACTGCTTACAGTGTGTTTTCCCTTTCATTGTCTGCAACTTTGATTCTTTGTTTTGTTTTTTGGGTCCGGTCGTGGGGCCTGAACTCTGGGCCTGGGCGCTGTCCCTCAGCTCTT